TTTACCAATAGCACAGATTTGTAAACATAAGTAGAAACTTCAGCTGACTCTTTAAAAGTAGTGAGCCTACTTTTAAAACATTATTAATGTCTTGCTCTTTCGTAAATAGTTAAGGCTGGTTACCCACCCCCATCCCTTCCCCTGGCTGGTCTGCTGCCTTTGAAACTTGAATGTCCCATGTACATCAGATTCTAATGTCTAGTGTACATGATTATCAGGTAACTTGCTGCTATTTATGTATTATTAATTGTGAGACTAGGGGTTGAACCCAGGGCCTTTGCATTGAGGTACATCCCCAGCTCTAATTTTATTTTGACATAAGTTCTTGCCCAGTCACTAAATTGCCCAGAGTGGAACTGAACTTGTGATCATCCTGCCTCAGTCTTCCAGAGTGCTGAGATTATAGGTATGCGCCACCTTTTTCTCATACATAAAATTGTTCACATGATTCCAGCTTTTTTTTTTTTTTTGTACCAGGAATCAAACTCAGGACCTTGCACTTGCCAGGCAGGCACTTGTGCCACTGAGCTATATCCCCGGCCCCCCAGCATATTTTTCTTAGATGCAAGTAGTTTCTAAATCCTATTGATAATAGAAGTTAAAGTGAGAATAAACTTTGATGGTGTAGTAGGTAGTATTTCACATTCTACTACCTGGTACTTTGTTCTTGCTAGATTTTAAATACATATTTTTAAAGGAATATAATTATGTGTGAGCCATAATACTCTGTCTCTTTGGTTTTGCCATTTCTACACCTCTAGCTTACCTGATTGTGACCCTGAAGTATATTTATAACCTCTTAAATTCTAGGAGGCCCTTTAAAAATTAGAGCTAAGAACCAAAAGTAACACTGATATGGGGTTGTTACATATAAATGTAACCAACATATTCTTGGAGATAAGAGAAAAATTCTAGCATGTTGGAGAGGGGCTAGGGAGCAGCTATGCAAAAGCTCAATTTTTTAAAAAATGACATTAATCAAGTGAAAAAATTTAAACAAAAATACTTTTGTGGTTCAATTTTCTGTGCAGGCATCTCAAATAAAAATCATCTCATGACTTTACAATTCTGAAAGGTATTACTAGACGGGAAAACACAGATCTGCCTTAATGCTGTGAAATTAAAATGTGGAGCTGATCCATTCAGTATCCACCAGTATCCACCAGTTTCTAATTCTAACATGTTTGAGCTTTATAAAATTACTGTAACAAGAGTATAGATATCTAGGTGTGATATCTTAGTTAATTAAGCCTAGTAGAAAAAATTGGCTCAAGATACAGTCGCAACTTTAAAGCCCTTTCATTTAAAGGGTTTCATTCCCTTTCCTTCACTTTATTTATTGTTCCCGCCACAACAAATATGAGACTTTTGATTTGAGGATTAATATGAATATATGTAGATAATAAACTTGAGAATCCCTATCTAAACATTCTTATTGGGCTCCTGAGTTGACATTATTATTGGTTTTCTGGTTTATACATTTCTGGAGCATAAATGCAAAATAAAAAATGGTTGCATGAAATCAGGGCTTTTGGGGATGCTTTAGAATGAGGTACTTTAAATATGAATCATACTCTTTTTCCACTGTGGCCTTTAAAGTTCAGCATTCAACCGCAGTTGTGATTGTTTTGAGTTTGTTAGTTGCCTGGTGTGTTATTTTAAGAAAGCAGAAGCACCATCATTTGCACACTCGGAGATCACACACCTTACCCCTGACTTTGTGGCTCCAGTTTTTCAAAAGAAGTGAAGCCAAGATGAAGAACCGTATGCTTTTCTGGGGAGTCCTGGCCATTTTTGTTAAGGCTGTTCTTGTAACAGGTATGTGGCATTTATAAAATGAGCTCGGATAAAAGGAAAGATGTAGCGCAGATCCGTTTTTCTGATGTAAAGATTTATGTTTAGTCCTTGGTTGCCCAGCTAGCCCGCTACTTCTAACATGCTGGAATCTTTATTTTGTCAGTGCTATTTACACAGACAAGACTCAATGTTATTCTTCTTCTTCTTCCTTGTCTCATAGTTGTTTGTCTATTACAAACCTACAAAATGGGAAAATAGGTATTTTTGGCTAACTTACAGCCACACTTGTGTGAATGTCCATATATCTTAAAATTGGTAATGTGGTCTTGTCTCTTAAATTAATATTCGAGACAAGTGAAGTAATAATTACTGTAATAGGATATAGAAAGCACTGAGATTTATTTCCCCAGAAAGACTGGTATTATTCCTAACAACTTTTCTAGCTCTGAGCCCACAGGTATATTTAATGACCCTTCCATAATGTTTAATCACATTGTCTATGATTTAATAGTTGTATATCTGACTTTTTTGTTTATTGACCTTTCACACATCCGTTTGAAAATGGGTATGTTCTGAATATAGAAATGCATGCAGTGTTAAATAATTTTCATCTAGAAGGCATGAATTAATAGTGATATAATTCATCTGAATTGTTATTAATACTTAATGAACCTGTTCTTATTTTTAGACAGAGCAGAACTACAATTAAGAATAGTCATTATATATATTTTTACTAATAGCATCAAGAATAATGTTTTAATAATATTTAAAGATAAAAATTTTAGTGGTGAAATAATTTACCCAGGGTCACACAGCAGCAAGCGGTAAGGAGAATCTGGGCAAAATTACCCTGTAGTTGATACTCTTAACTTCTACCCTAAACTACCATTTTTTTTTGCTGGGCATGGTGGCACATGCCTATAATCCTAGCATTGGGGAGGCTGAGGTAGAAGGATCTCTAAGAGTTTGATGCCAACCTGGGCGCACAGTGTGTTCAAGGCCAATTTAGAATGCAAAGCAAGAGTCTGTCTCAAAAAAACGAAAACAAGCCGGGTGTGGTGGTGCATGCCTGTAATGCCAGCACACGGGAGGCTGAGGCAGGAGGATTGTTGCAAGTTCAAGGCCAGCCTGAGCTGCATAGCGAGACCCTGTCTCAAGCACCCCCCCAAAAAAAACCAGAAAACAAAAGATACCAAAAAAAGGAACCATCTTTCAATAAACTCATTCTGGTCATATCTACCACGCATTGTTATGTAATTCTCTTTCTTTCTGTCTGGGGATTGAATTCAGGTCCTTCACGCTGAGCTGCATCCCCTTTTCCCTTTTTGAGATAAGGTGTTGCTAAATTGCTCAGGCTGTTCTTGAATTGCAATTCTCTCATCCTGCCTCCCAGAGTGCTGGGATTACGGGTATGCACCATGTGCTTTACTTCTATTTTTTTATTTGAATGAATTAAATTAAATTTAACAAGTGTTTACTGAGTACCTACTATGTCCCAGATACTCTTGGACTAAAGTAAGGCAAATCCCTAATAGCAGATTTATTAGGAAAAATGAAGACTGTAGGTAAGAGAATGTTTAAGTCCTGGTGAGTAGAGAGTATTTGTATATTTTTTAGTAGATGTATTAGCTTGTCTAATATTTTTACATACCAATAGTTATCATAAGTTCTTCCTAGATTTCTATTAAGGAAATACATTGTATTTCATAATAGAATATAGATTTTTTCATTTAATATTCAATAATCAAGTCATTTACTTGACTCTTAGGTTGTATTTTTTGATCAGGCATTACATACTCATTTATATTTCACTGAGAAAAACCCTGAAGAGTTATGAATATAGAAGTAGGGAAGATGACCCCACTGGAATTACTTTACTCTTTTCACAGTGCTTTAAGAGGTGTGCCATTGTCCTGAATTGCCTTCTTCAGTATCATACAGAGCTGTGTCAGAAGATTTATTGAGAACTTTGAATAATGACTTAATTATTACAAAGTGCTTTGGTTACAGTGATCTTAAAGTATTTTTGTAATGGCTCTTATCATTAGACTGAAATATTGCAATTAGGTTCTCTCTGCTCTGGGAATCACCTTGGGAATAATTAGATTTCCAGTTACAGTGATCAATCTTTTCTTTTTATTTAAAAAAATTATTTTTTGAGACAGAGTCTTGCTATGTATTTCAGGCTGGCTTTGAACTCACTATGTAGTTCACTTTGCCCTTGAACTTAGATTGATATCTATCTCAACCATTTAACCATTATAACTTGATTTCATGTACTAAATTTTTTTTAATTTGAGGCTGAATGGGATGAATTTTTAAGTACCACATAGCTAAGATTATAATAAAAAGATTTTTGACATCATAGCATCATTAAATAATACTGTTATTAACTCAAGTATCTGTTAAGTCCAGTAAGAAATTTTCTTTGTTTGACCCTTACAATACTAATCAGACCTTTCTGTGTAATACTTAAATTAGACAATAAATATTGACATTCAGAGTTAAGGTTTTAATTGTTACCTGTGTATTCATTTATTCATTACTTCTATATGCTGATGTATTATATTAAATTGAACCTATACCTCACAATCATTTCTAAACTATTTTTGCTAATTTATAGCATTTTTTCAACTATACATATAAAAAATAGCTAATGCTGTTTAAATTTTTTGTTCCCTTTTGAATTAATGCTTTGGTTAGGGAAAACTCTGGAGTTTAGTTTTCTCTCTGACCTTGGCATTTGGCACCGGTTTTTACAAAGCTACATCATTCACAGAGCTGTGCCCCTGTTGGAGCTATTAGAAGAAAACCAGAATTCTTTCAACCCAGGTTTTCATAGAGCAATCCAACAAAAAAAAGAGAAGGGCTACGGGTTTAGTTCAATGGCACAGCACCTGCCTGGAAAGCATGAGGTTCTGAGTTTGATTCTTGGTACCCACTCCAAAAAAAAAAAAAAGGAAACTCCTTCTCGGCTGCATTTGGATTTCTTTCACTAAGTGAGAGTCCACTTAGCTGTTTTAGACCGGCAAAGAAAACAAATGGGAAAAGCTGGAACTGATGAATCATAAATTCCCATCATGCAGTACATAATTTCATAAAAAATAAATTTTTTCTGCAGACAGGAAAGACAGATGAACTCATCACAAAATACATAAATTGACTTTGGTTCCCTTTTCTCATAACATGTTTTATCTTTGAAGCCCAAGATGAAGAGAAAAAGACCATCCTTGCCGACAATAAGTGCCAGTGTGCCCGGGTTAGTTCCAGGGTCATCCGCTCCCCCGAAAACCCTAATGAGGACATCGTGGAGAGATACATCCGAATTATGTATGTGTGACATTCCATAGTTCTTTTCCCCCACTGTAAGCAGAGATACTTCTGTTATTAAGCATTATTTAAATGTAATGCCTGTATCTTTATGCCCCTTCTTGATGTGGGGCACCTTACATGAGGTTGAATCTTGTTAATGACCTTGAGACAATTTTGTAGGAGTTGAAGGCAGGAATAAAAGTGTTCCAGATACCCTAAAAACGGACAGCTAGATCAAATTGTAGTAAAGCTTGTGGTGCAGTCATCACGATCCCCTGTTTAGGTGGAGTAATTTCAGTTAAATAAAATTTTTCAGTTGTCCTTGATCAGTTCAGACTGAAGCTTCAGGTAACACTAAGAGTCTTATTTTGTACCATCTGTGGTCTACTGAGTATTTTACACTACGTTCAGATGTCTGCATAAAGCCAAGACAGTCTGATCAAATTGGATAGTTTGACTCGGTCTTCACATATGGCCTGGACTTGAGCTAGTCATTTCATTTCTGACATAATCTAGAGTTACATCCTATGCAGCTCTTATTCAGCAGCAAGAATACTAGCAGTAATTGCAAAATAAGATTTATATTGGCCCCAATCAGTAATAAATTTTCCTTGTTAAATACTCCTACATTAGTAGTTTTCCACCAACCAAATATCTCTCATACAGAGAGAACACAGGATTCAACCTCATTCAATTAATGGGATAGGGATAATGCGTTTAAGAATTTTGTTTCAGGTTCTGTTTGGGTCACTTACGAGCTATGTGCTCTTATTTTCGTTAATACATGTTTGTAGTACATATTGGTCACATTCATCATGGGGAGTTGGTACATGTACATAACACATCTCAATTCTTTTTATGTCCCCTGCCTTGGCTCTCTTCCCATTTGCAAAAGATAAGCAAATTAGTTATCTATTCTAAACTTCATCATCTTTAAATAGGGGCAGATAGTGCCTACTTCGTAGGGTTATTGTGAGAATACTGATTCCATTTAAAGCTTGTATAGTTCCTGGCACATATTAAAATATTTACTTTCATTTATTTTTAATATTTGCTTTTGTTTATTAATCTAATCCATGTGCCACTTATCAGTATACCACTATACTGCTTGGAACCCTTTGGGTGGTTTTCCCAGTATTGTTCTGAGAATATATTACAAACTTCCAGCTTAACCTACAAAGCTTGCCATAACTTCTCAAGTCCATTGCTACTTTTATGTTATGTTTGAAAATCCAGCAACCCTGTGGCGTCTTTTGTTTCCTCACATTCATGGTACTTTCTTCCACTTCTGTGTTTATGATTACTGGTTCCTCTGTTTGAAGAAATTTTTCGCCTACTTCTTTCAGCCTGGTTCATGTTTCATTTCCTTCAGCTTTATTACTTAATTGTATGAATTTGGGAAGGTCATTAATCTCTCTCATTCATAATTTGCATATCTTTAAAATGTAGTTAATCATATATGCCTGTCTCTTCATTCTACTGGTATTGAACATACTCCACATCACGTTTCTATCTAGGCGCTGGGAATACATAAATATTTTTGCCTCAAAGAATTTATGTACTCTAGGAGAGCAAACATTCTGTAGCAAGCCGCTGTGATCAGGCATTTTCTGTAATAAGTATAGCTGAGCTTTAGTGAGACTGTGTGTGGAACATTTGTTGGGGAGGGGATAGGATCAAGATAATCATCACAAAAGGGTTTGGCAAGGTTTTCTAGATGTTTCGAGGTTTATACTGAGTGGGAAATACCTAAAGTATAGAAAGTGACTGCTAAAAACTGAGTAATCATACTGTGGTACCTCCGTTCACGAATTTGGTTCTTTCCACGATTCTGGTCACAAACTGAGACGCAGGAGAACCGAATCAGATTCCGTGGTTAGGTTCAGTGTTGCCCTTGTGGGGAGGTTTCCCTGGGTTCTCATCGGTTTGCAGTCAGAATATGGAGACAATTGAGTTTGTGAACCAAAGCACCATTGTATTACTAGAGTGCTTAGATGTAGAGACTCTACCGTTCCAATTCAATAGCACTGTTTCAGCAGTATACTTGTATCAGAAATAATATCTGTATTCCATTATTTTTCTTTGTTTCTATTTTTAGTGTTCCTGTGAACAACAGGGAGAATATCTCTGATCCCACCTCACCACGGAGAACCCAGTTTGTGTACCATTTGTCTGACCTGTAAGAGATTTTTCTTTCATACTAATAGATATGTGGAAGCTAATACCTTTTAACTGACCTTGTTAGTCAGAATGCTTCTGAAAATATGTTGGCATATAAACATTGACAAGTCTCTGAACTTTTGAATACATTCTTGTGTTATTAATATCACGATTGATGGAACTGTGACAGATAAAAGATAGCAATACATCTATTCTAAAGAAGAAACTAGTGTCATTGATACAGGAAGGGTCATTTTATATTACTAGCTCAGTAAATGGATTTCAGTTCATAAATATGCAAATGTTTCTTTGGAAATGATAGAGTCCAATATCAAATAGTTTCGAAAAATATTCTTGTCGCCATAAATAACTCACTTAAACGAACTATATAGTTGGAAATAAACCTAATACCATAGAAGTTTCTGTATGGTGTGGGTAAAACAATCAAATCATCATGTCATTATATAGCTTACTGTCAACTAATTTTATGTATTAAAGGGTGAAAAGTCTCCTAAGCTGTTCTGTATGATAGAAATGATTAGATCCAAAAGAAGTCATCTTTTATTACAGGTCAGGGTTGCACGAGTTAACTGATTTTAAATAGAAATGTGTAGTCACTCATACTTTGTTACAGCATTTAATGTGAATTACTAGTGTGTGTCCTTTCCTTTTCAGCTGTAAAAAATGTGATCCTGTAGAAGTGGAGCTGAATAATCAGGTAGTTACTGCCACACAGAGCAACCTCTGTGAGGAAGACGGTGAGCCAGAGACCTGCTATGCTTACAACAGGAACAAGTGCTACACAGCTGTGGTCCCACTTACATACGGCGGCGAGACCAAGCCAGTGAAAGTGGCCCTGACCCCCGACTCCTGCTATGCTGATTAGCCCCGGTCTTCCCTGCTTGGGCATCTGTCTTGAGAGGCTCTCCATTTCATTCAGACAGTTAGCATATTCACGCCAGTGAATTTTAAGCCAAATTTTAAAATATTTAGATAATGCAAGACTCACTTCCCCATAAAAATGTAAAGTTTTTACGCATTTGGTAATTTCTTCTCAAACCTAAATATTAAAATTGGTCAATTATTGTGCTTGTCAGAGGGGTATGCTTCCCTAAGGTCATAGTTTTTAGCATTTAAAAAAATAAGACAAAGAAAATAAAACTCAAAGTGTAAAAACCTGGAGACATAATTAAATGTCCTTTTTTTTTTTGCTGTGCTTTGTTTTGGAGAGCCAGAGCTTTTGCATATTCTGTGCCATTCTTCTTTAAAAAAATTTCACTGTGTAGAGAAAATATATGTGTAAACATAGGTCAGTTATATATCTTCATTAGAAAAATGATCAATGGAGAACATGTTCTGGAACTGTGTACAAAATTATTAAAAATGTAATCTTTAATATTTATGAAACCAATTTGCTGAAAATGATGTAATTAAAACATAACTGAAAAGACACATTTTGACATAATACACAGACCTGGCAGAAGAACTTGCTTTTTTGGTAAAATTTTTTTCAGCAATCAAGTTAGTGTAAGAAATTCCCATTGGAAATCATCTTTGTTGCAACTGAATCTAATGAAATGTTTTTTTAAAATATGCGTTCTCTAACACAGTTTAAACAATTAAATAGATTCATAAGCATATACCTGTGTGAAATAATTTATTAGAAAAAATTCTGTGTTTACTTTCTTTTTTTCTTTTTATGTTAACTTTCTGGGAAGTGAACCAGGGCCTTGGGCATGCTAGGCAAACCCACGACCACTGGGCTATATCCCCATCCCCTTAACTTTCATATGTATAAATTGAATATAATTTGTTATTGGTGAACAATTTGTAACAGCAATGAAATTATGCATTAGTCACTAAATTCATATCTTTATATATTTGACCATTTTACATCCAAAATTAAATAAAAAGGCAAGGTCTTCATGACACATAAATCTTTATGGAAGAAAGCAAAGGCTAGTTGACATATATCTGAAGGTACTTCAGAAAGTAAATGCTGACTCTTGATTTAAAATCGTAGGGGAATATTGGGTAAAAATCAGTTTCCGTGAGGCATTCTTCTGTTTCCTTTTTAAAAAGAATGGTAGCCATTTTGAGTAACCTCTGTGTTTATAATTATTACTCAGCTTTTCTTTAGGCGTAAGTTAGGATACTCTCTGTACATCAGTAAGAATTAATAGTTTTGGTATATGAAGTATGGTTGAAAAATTTGGTGAATGCTTAAATAAAAAAACTACTTCCATAAAAGACACATTGTCATTGATCCCCTCTTTGAACACACTCATCCTATTATTCTTGGTACTTTCTGAAGTAATTCTAGAAGTCCTCTTTTTTTCTTTCATCATTCTTTCTTCCTTTCATTCTGTCTCCTTTTTTTTTTTTCTTTGAGACAGAGTTTTGCTATGTAGTTCAGGCTGGCCTTGAACTCACAATGCAGCCCAAGCTGGCCTTGAACTTGGCAATCCTTCTGCCTCAGCCTCCCAAGTGCTGGGATTACAGGCGTGAGCCATCATGCCCATCTAGAAGTTTGTTTTTCATGAGTGGCTCACTTGTGCTTACTGGACTTTAGTTGTGCTGTTGTGGCTGCCTCAGTGTCCTGAATGCACTGGAAACATTTATTGTTCGTGGTTGTTTTGACTTTGAGGAGGAGACAGAGCTCACACTGTGCCAGATCTGGCGGCTAAGGAGGCGAGGGCACAGCGTCATGTTTGTGGGAGCCGCCCTGCTGTTGGATGCCACTCAGCAGCAGCAGCCACACTTTTCATCACATGCTGCGAGGACTCGGGCTCCAGAGCTGCCTCAGACAGTGGCAAGAGTGACAGTGTGTGTGAAGTGAGGCTGCCTTTGAGGGGGAATGATGGCCATGTGTCTTTTACTGCGCTAGTTTCTGTTTTAATTCAAACATTCACCATATACAGTATGTGCACTAAAAATGCCTCCATTCTTGACCGACCGTTTGTCTAGCGTGTGGCCTTTCAAGTCTTTGGGTTTCAGTTAGTAAGTACTTGTTGACTATTAATCTCTTGCACAAAACCCATCCGTGCTGATTGCACTGGCGAGTGCCTCAAGAAAGCCCCCTCTCCCTCTCACGCCTTAGAATGCTGCTCAGTTGTAGCTGTCTCTGGGAGACCCATCCTGCCCATTTGGAAATTTCATTTCTTTTTTTTTTTGAAATGGGCACAATATGTAGCCCAGGCTGGCCTCAAACTCACAGTAATCCTCCTGGCTCAGGCTCCCGAGTACTGGGATTACAGGTGCATGCCACCACACCTGGCTAAAATTTCTTTTTTTTTGGTTTTTCTCCGGTACCGGGAACCAAACTCACGACCTTGCGCTTGCCAGGCAGGCGCTTTGCCGCTGAGCTAAATCCCCAGCCCCCAAATTTCTTTAATTTTAAATTTAAATAGAAGTTCCCTTTATTCCTTTATCTCCATTTATTCTCTCCATGTCTGTGCCAACCTCAGGGAAACTTTATCATTGCGTACTTATCATGTTATGTTTTATCTCTCCATGAGAGTGTAATGTCTGGTGTTATATTGCTAGCACCTAGAACAATATCTGCCGCAGAGAGGTGCTCAATACATATTTATCAAATGAATGAACATGAGTAAAGCTTAGTTAAAGAAACAATACATATGTACATAAAGACTTGTAATTTTTGGCAGAGATTGATAAAAGCGAAGAAATAGGCTCCAAAGGGCAATGAGACTGCTTCTGAAGAAGTCCCTCTACTCCCGCTCCATCCTCGCCTGAATGTTTTGTGTAACCAACAGGAAAATTTTTTGGTACCTTTTTGTAGATTGATGTATGAAAGACCCTTATTCTGGCATTATTACCTTGTTAAGTGCCAGCTAAAGTTCAGTTAAATTGTAAGAGCATTATACTGTGTTAATTTATGACTAGGTGCTAGGCACCAGTCTAAGTGCTTTGTTCCAGAGCAGCTGGGGACCCTCCCATGAGAGTTCATGAAGAAGGATTAAAGGCTCCCTGCTAGCTTCGTTCACGGACTTGCTGTGTGAGTGGGACACTCAGCAGGAGCACACTAAGGATTCACGTGCAAGGCGCCTCTTTCTTCTTAGCAGGAAGGATAACAGGCCTGTGGCTCCAGTACTCACCACTGTGTTTATGTGACGCCACGATGCCAAGGGGCTGCTTTGGCAAAGGGGATTCGGAGTGGCGGGAATGCCAAGACCAGCCTCTGGGAGACTCGGTCTTCTGGCTGGTCACTGACTTGGGGCTCTCTTCTGACCTCCCTGAACATTTCTTGGCACTGTGTCACTGTCAGATGTTACCTGCCCACCTTCTTCCTCTCTCCTCCCTGAGGTCGGCCTTCGTAGCCTTCCCCCCTCTTTGACACCTTCCCAGTTTTCCCTCACAGCTGTTTTCCTAATCTTTATACCTCTAATCTCAGCTTGGAGTCTGTTTCTGCAGAGCCTGGGTTGATATTACAGCCAATTGTGATTATTTGATTTGATGATGATGATACTGAGCATTCTTCACATGCCAGGTAATTTATTTGCACAATGAGTTTTGATTATTCTCTCATATTGTAAATGTGCAGATGAATCAGTGGGTAAGTGGCAGCTGGGCTCACGACCTTGTCCAGTAACTGGCAATGAAAAGTCTAAGTCACTCTGCTATACATTAGCAAATACCAGTCGAGTCTCTTAATCATGTCCACTGTATCATATAAGCTATTTTCTTGTGGTTTATGTGGCATTTTGAGGTTAATGCAACCAAATCATTCACCTATCATTAAGTCTGTTACAATTTTTGTACTTGATATCTGCTCTTTTTAATTTTTTTTTGATGGGGCCTCATATGCGCAGTGGCCTTGCCACTCAGTGACCCACTGAGTGATCAGTGATCCACTGATCCACTTGCCTTGAACTCACGGTGATCCACAGCCTCCCAAGCACTGAGAACTCACAGTGATCCGCTTGAACTCAGCCTCCCAAGCACTGAGATTACAGGCACGCACTGTCATGCCTGGCTTGCTGTTTTTAATTTAAAGTAGATGGATGAGATTTTAAAAAGGCATAAACAGGTACTGTTGGTGAGGATTGTTTTTCTTCTGCATAGTTCTTGACAAATTAGCTATTTGCCCAAGGGAACACACTCAGCACTAGCAGGACGGAAATTGTGTGGTTTAGCAATTAGAGTCGTGCTGCTTGGTGCTGGGCTCCTAGACGCCGACAGATCAAGCACAGCCTAAGGCCGTTGTTACTCTAATGGTTTACGTGACTTGAACATAGTGACACTTTTGCAGTCACGAGTCTGCAGAGGTGAGCACACTCGTGCACAGCCCTGATACACTCTGGCCTGGAGGCAGAGGACAGGCAAATTAGTTTTAGGGTGCCTTGCCAGGTCTCGGCTGCAGGGTAGCAGTGTATGGAATCTAACGGGTAAATCTGTGGCCCAGCCTGGAGTCCAGACTCAAAGAGACTGCCACTGGCACGTTAGTGAAATATGAGATTGTTTCCTCATTTAAAAAATAGAAGTAAGCCCGGTGTGGTGCTGCACGGCTGTAATCCCAGCACTTGGGAGGCTGAGGCGGGAAGATTGTTTTTGAGTTTGAGACCAGCCTGGGCTACAAAGTGAACTCAAGGCCAGCCTTAACTGCATAATGAAACCCTGTCTCAAAAAGACAAAAAAAAAAAAAAAAAAAAAGAAGGGAAAATCATGTCCTAAATTTTCACCCAGATAAGGACGCATCCTGAATGCGCATAGATCTGTTTGTAGGTCATTCAGCACAGCGGTTACAGGAGTCAGCAGTGCTCAAAGGGCTGTCTTTGGTTCTTCTCCGTGTCAGGGCAACACAGCCATGAGAAATGCGTGTGGATATGAACTTAATGACTCCTGCACTCCAGAGGCGAGAGGAAGCTGGACTTGTTAAGGCACCTCTGCGCCCGCCCTCGAATGCTGACTGAGTCATTCTGCGGGGCAGGTGGAGAATCGCAGTTCTCCCGCGGTTCCAGGTTCTGCAGCTTGGAGTTGGGCACCAGGGCTTTAGAATGACAAACCTTTACTTCCATCTAGTGGTTCAATTATGAAATGCAGCGAATGCATTTCTAACCTGCATGGTTTTATTTAATCCTTGTTAACACCCTATGAAAAAAAGTACTATGTTCATTTTACAAATAATAAAATTTGCCACATGCCTGTAATCTCAGCTCTCGGGAGGCTGAGGCAGGAGGATCGCCTGAGTTTGAGGCCAGCCTGGGTAACACAATGAGACTCTATCTCAAAAAACAAAACAAAACAAAACAAAACAAAACAAAACAAAACAAAACAAAACTGGGATGTGAAGAGTGCTAACCTGCTTAAAGTTTTGCAAGTTGCACATGGAGAACTAATAATTGGGCCCAAGACTGTAAAAACTGGTACTCTCATGTCTGAACATGTGTTCTGACTGTCTTCCTCAGTAATTCTACTTCTGAGGAAATAACCAGAAACACCGACAGAGAAGAGCAAGCACATATTTATCACATTATTATGATAGTGAAAGTTCATAAGGAGCCATGAGTCCATCCTAAATGGAATGTTAATATTGATCTACTTCAGAATATTTTACAGACAACAAACATGAAATTTAAAAATATTTTTAATTTTGTAGAAGTTGTTTATACAATATGAAGAGAAAATGAAAGATATTGAATAAAAGAGCCGGGTGTGGTAGTACACACCTGTAATCCCAGCCCTCGGGAGGCTGAGGCAGGAGGATAGCCTGAGTTTGAGGCCAGCCTAGACTGCACAGTAAGACCTTGACTCAGAAAAAAAAAGGAATAACTTTAAGGAGAACTCCCCTATCCCATACTTTCAGGAGAAAAGACAAGAAAAGACTAGGGAAATAGGCCAAAATATTTTTATTTGTTTCCCTTTACTTTCCAGTATTTTTCAAATATTCTACAGTGTATGTTACATAATTTAGGTTAGCTATTATTAAAAATTTTAATCAACCATGTTAATTTTTAAGAGACTAAAATTTTACCTATTTACATATATATTAAGGAGAAAGTAATGTTTCCTTAGTGTCTACTCTGCACCCAGCACAGTTCTAATTGCTATGAAGGACATGTAGGAAGAGTGGTTTGACTTCTGAGGACTTTTCCTACTGCTGTAGGCAAAACTCACGTGGGGAAGAGTCAGTACATGCTGCAAGACAAAGGGTCGATTACTGATCAGAGATGCCCGTGAGCTGTCTGGGAGGCCGGACGTCGGGACTGGGATGATCCTGGGGAAGACGTTACCTGAATAGGGTTCTCACAGACGGAAGTGGAGCATTTGAGAGCTGCGTGAACCAGGCAGGCCGACTGGAAAAGCAGGTGTGCCTGGAGGGAGAGGCACCACCAACCCAGACCCTCTTTTTTTGGGTTCTCTATCAAGTCCTTCGTCCTGTGCCCCACTCATCCATACCCTCTCAAGTTGGTGACACCAGCTTTTTTAGTGGCTAAGACCTTTCTGTCCCTTTCTAGTGAGTGGGAAGTAGCCTAGCACTTTGCCACCCAAGCTTGGTCCACCAGCTGGTCGAATCATCATCACCTAGAGCATGTTGATGCTGCAGAACAGTGGGCCCCAAACCAGACCCGCCCAATTAAAACCTGCATTTTAACAGGATTCATAAGCACACTAAAACTTGAGCAGTGCTGATGTGGGTGTAAAACAGTCAAAAAATGGCCTGGGCCCTGGTTAAAGGAGGCAGTTGCCGATGTGTTTAACAGCTAAGGGGCTGATGAGGTCCTCCACTCACAACATTTTCCTTCCCTGACTACTTCACGGTTAGCCTCACGCATGGTGGACTACCTGCGAGGACTCCTATTGGTCAGCACTTGAGGGAACATCTGTTTACCAGACTTAACCATCGCACCTCCCTTCCCTCCACGGTGTATAGAGTGAGACGCGGTCGCTCGGGTCAGCGCGGCGGCGACCGAAGGCTCTGATGAGGGGCGGAAGGGGAGCTGCAGGGTTTCAGCCAAGGCCGCGCGCGTGAACAGCAGCTCAGAGGCCGACAGCCTCAAGTATCTCAGTTTTGTGTGTTGAATTACGGCTCCGTTTCCTCCCTGTTTCTTTGCAAGGTTCTCTGCTCCTGGGGAAATGTGCTTGTTAGCAGCAGAATTGTGTTTCTAAGTCAAACTGACTGCGGATTGCCAGTGAGAGAGCACGGTCCGGCGCTGTGACAGGACTTGGGCGAGATGCAGAGGCACGAAGCCCAGGAGGACAAAGCCAGATGCTCCGGAGGCCCGCGCTGGGAATCGGCGAGAAGCTGCCCTCCCTCGGCTGCCGCTTTCCTCTGAGCTTCAGGGGGCTTGTGGCCTGAGTCACAGGGAGACCGCCGAGGATGTGCGAAGCAGGGACAGAGCAGCTGATTGTAAATACAACGTTTCTTGTTTCCTTTTTGGTTCTTGGAAATGAACTTTGGTTTCCTGAGGGGAAGACGAGTGGTTTTTGGGTTCTCCAGTCATGACAGGACACGGATCCAGGCGGGAAGAGGAAACACATGGGGGACGCATGTCTGCACAAGGAGGAAAAGGCGCTCCAAGTTCTGCTCGGAGATGCGTGAAGTGACACCGTGGCGTGAGCGGCTGAAGTGAGGCGTGCGCCCGCGTCTGCAGCCGGCGGGAGAACCTGCGTGTTGGTAGTGGCAGGCTCCTCCTCAGGCCTTTGACTGCACCCCGCACTTCTCACCTCGCCCCCTGCTTGGGGAGAGAGGGCGAAGTTCTCCTCCGGCAGCGGCTGCCGGCCTCCAGGGTCACCGGTTACAGCCGGGAGAGGCGGGATGCAGGGACGCGTTAGCCTGGCTGCATTATCTTGTGTGTGGAGTCCTCAGACAGTATACTCTTCTTTATTTCCTTTATACAATAAAGGTTTTAAGCGGTCATTTTATAATCTGCCAGGCACAGGACCTTGACACAGAAGTGAGGCAGCAGTGACCGGAGGGGGCTGGCGCCTCCTGCCTCTGCTGTGTGGACCTGAACTTCAGTCGGACCTGCAGGCTAGGAGTGATTCACGAGGTGCAGAGTGAGGGATCCCTTCAAAGTGAGGAGCTCAGCTCTCGCGTCCGGGAGTGCAGGGCGTCCTGTGCTGGCCAGGTGAGCAGCTGTTTTCTGCGGGGACGTCTCTCTCTCTCTCTCTGTCTCTCTCTCTCTCTTTCCTCTATGCACTCACATTCAAGAGATTTTTTTTTTTTTTAATCACGCAGGGCTTTTCACATTTTACCTTACAGATGTCTCAGATGATAATTTAAACAGCAGTATCTCATAGATGTACATGTATCAACTGCCAAAACAACTATGTAACCCAAGCACTTTGGTGAAAGTAAAGTGAATATTTTTTAGTGAAAGTATTCACATTGAGATTTCCAAAAAATTATTTGAAAAAAACAGTGAAATATAATAGTGTAGTTTTATTTTGAGGTCTTTCTTTTTTTTTTTTTTTTTTTTTTTTCTCCGGTACCGGGAACGAACTCACGACCTTGCACTTGCCAGGCAGGTGCTTTTGCCGCTGAGCTAAATCCCCAGCCCCTGAGGTCTTTCTTTTTCTTTCTTTCTTTCTTTCTTTCTTTCTTTCTTTCTTTCTTTCTTTCTTTCTTTCTTTCTTTCTTTCTTTCTTTCTCTTTCTTTCCCTCTTTCTCTCTTTCTTTCTCTCTTTCTCTCTTTCTCTCTCTCTTTCTCTCGACAGGGCCTCACCATATAGTTTAGGTCAGTTTTGAACTCACTATGTAGCCCAGGCTGGCCATGAACTCACAACAATCCTCCTGCATCAGCCTCTAAGAGCTGGGATTACAGGCATGTGCCACCACATCCAGTCTGAGGGGGTAGTTGTTAAAAGAGTTTTATATAGAATAAGTTAATCATTTTTCAATGTGTGAGCAAAGTAAAAAACTGGTGGGGTGGGTGGGAGGAATTCCAGCAACCAGTGCCCAGAGAATCTGCAGTTCTGTGATGCACATGAGGTTGAGCTATGCAGCTGTGTTGGTGGTGTCTATCCTGCAGCCCACACATCTCCCCTGCAGAAAAGCAGACCGCAGTGCACTGTTTTCATGTCACCTCTGAAAGCTCATTCAAAAATCAGTCAATAAATATTTATTGAGTACCTTCTATGGTCAAGACACTATGGGAGACACTTTAGAAGATTCAAAGGGAAAGTTTCTTTTCTCAGGGAGTTTTCAACATTGTATTTCCTCAAAATTCCGAGCTCTTCTGTTTATGAAATCTGTCCAGTGAAATTTTCTCCAAAGAAACTCCTCAAACTTAGAAGATAACTTTGTAGGTAATTTTGAGAATTGTACCCTTCTAGCAAGCAGTATCCAGATAATAGGCCAAAATGCCTTTAATAATAATAAAAATAATAATACAACACAGATGCATTCTAAGCAAGGCAATGTAGAAATATCTACTTTACAAAATAATTTACACTATTTAATCAAGATATCAAGAAACTGTGTCTGTGAATAATTCTACAATGACATGAAAAATAAGCATATTAGTCATAGTACATACCAGTAGAATCACTTATACTGAACTAGTAGAGAAAATTAAACTTTGAGTGCTTTATCTGCATAAGATGGTGTTTCCCAAAATGTTCGCTAGAAATTCTGCAGATCAAGAATTGGTAATGGGGTGTGGTAAGTCCTAGTCTTCTGTTCTGGTGCTCAGCCCCAGGTGACATTTCTTCAGTTCTTCCTTCCTTCCTCCCTCAGCCTTTTTCTGTGGGCTGCTAGCTCTAGAAACCAGTTTGCCTTTCCTTCTCCTAGAGTATGTCCCTCTAACTGAGCTGCCTACCTGCTAGATCATGAGGAAATTAAGAACAAAAGTAGGGAACAGTGTCTATTTGTTAGAAAATTTATTATACAATGGTAGTTTGGCTAGGCCAAGAGACAAATCTAGGTAGAATTTAGAGTACATATAAAAAGGGGAAAACAACATGCTGTTTTAAGGTACAAAAGTGGTGTAGTAGAAAAAAGAAATTGAAGGGATGAAAGGAGTCTGAGAACAGGGATTAATTGGCAAATGATACATTAAGAGACAACAGAAGCTGGGTGTTGTGGTGCACACCTGTGATCCCAGCACTCTGGAGGCTGAGGCAGAAGGATCACCACATTTTCAAGGCCAGCCTGGGTTACATAGTGAGTTCAAGGCCAGCCTGAACTACATAGTGAGACCTTGTCTCAACAAACAAAACAGAACAAAATAAAAAAGACAACAGAAAAGTAGAAAGAAACGAAGTAGGCAGAAAGGAAGACATGTGGAGGAGGTGAGCATAAAGAACTAATGATAGTTAAAGATAGCTAGCTTCGTATGTAGGAAATGATAATGAGAAAGATGAAAAGTAGAAAGCTAAATATAGAATGGGTGAGGGAAAAAGAAAAGAAGGAAGGAAAAAGGGAGGAAATGGTAAAGCTAGGCAATGAAGTAAAAAAATTCTGAGAGAATTTAACTAGGAAATAAACCTCCTAGAAACCCAACATAAGGAAAAATAATGTACAGTGCATCAGGATTATAGTGATGGGTAGATATCCGTCCACAAAATGGAAAGTTCATCTGCCTTTCAGATGTGCAAAATCAGATAAGTTTGCAAGTCGGGAACCTTGAGGGAAAAAGGAGGAATCAGCAAGCAAAAGGAAACTAACCCAGACAAGTGACTTCCACGTTTCAAGGCAGGGTGGTCATGGCCGCCATGCTTTTTCTGAGGTCTGCACTGATTTGTGACAACACTGGGTCCAGCCATCCCCACAGGCCTAGTCTCATTAACTCCACCTGGGCCACTATTCCTACTGCTGGGCGGGGGACGTAGGATCACCGAGAAGGTCATACATTAATTAAGTCTTGGGGAAAAAGTTTGGGAAGGATGGGTATAGAATATTATTTTCCTTTCTCTGACGATGCTTGATTGAAATAATCCCTAGGCCTGAATTAGTAAGCAGTCCTGTGGATCAGTCCCTCTTTGAAAAGATTCAAATGGAGTATGTTCATCAGCATTAAGTTGGTCAACACTTATACTTCTAAATGGCTCCCTAGTAGCTAATGCAACAAATGTGTTAGGGTTTTCAGTAGGCATAGTTAGCTCCCCGTCAGATGGGCCTTGTCTTCCATTGCTAGATGGAGTTCCAGTGTTAGAAGACTGAAGCTTTGTTAATTGGGAGCCAAAGCATGGTACCTGCAGGATGCTAGGTGGTCTTTCTTGCTGCCTCTCCCCCTCCTTTCTTTGGGTTTCCTTTTGGATTTCTTGTGGCTTGGGGCTTGCATCAGTTGTACCAATAACAAGCTGCTCAGGAGTAAGGTCAACAGTTCTTTCCTTGAGACGGTTGCCTTCTAAAATTTGTTCCAGAACATTCTTCCCATCTCCTCCAAGATCATTTTTGAGACAAGGTGTGTTCTTTGATTGAGGAGAGCTGGCTTCGGGAAAGGATCTAATTCCCACTTGATCCCGCTGATTCTTCACAGAGCATGGTGTGTCCTTCAGAGTGGACACATCATCTCTAAAAGTGCTGGGCCTTTGGCTTTCCCCGGGAAGTTTCTTCTCTGAGCTATTTCTTTGGCCAGGTAGGATGCTTACTGGGGAGACAACAGGTCTTACGTGCTTGGTATGACTACTCTCCGTATAGGTGGGATTGGTGTTTGGATTGTCTCCTGGTAGGAGACTGTAGGCTGGCGTATAGACTTGGAGAGCTAGTGGATTCTCGTGGGGCCCTGCAGAGCTACCAATGCAGCAAGAACCTCTTGGGCCTTGGTGAAATAAATGTGCTTCTGTGTGACCCGATGGGTAACTTTGAGGCATTAAGTCTAGGAAAGACAAATGTTGTCTCTCTGGTGAATTTAACCTAGTTATTTGCACATCATAGTTCAAATTCTCACCTTCGTGCCAAGTTGGATTGTTCTGGAGCCCAACTGAAGGGTTACTGGAATAGGGATAGTTCTCTTTCTGGTTTGGTAGACTAACTTCCTGTACGTTTGTTGCTTGCTCCCAGTAATTTCTGTTAGAATATGGCTCACTTTCCTGCTGCCCCTGTGCTGGAATCCTGTTGTCCCAGGAGTTCCATGAAGGAAAGAACGTGCTTTCTTCTTGTTGGACGGCATTATTGACGTAATAGCCTCTGCTCTCCTCAGGCGGTGATACTGTGGGACTTGGGCTGTTCGAGGGGAAAGTCTCATCTAGGCTCCAGGGATAAAATTCACTGTAAGGAGATTCTTCTCTGGGCTTTGATGGGTTATCCAAGGAATAGGGGAGGTATTCCTTTGGTAGATTTGAGGTGTATTGCTCACCATCGTAGTGCCTAATCAGTGGTCTTCCATTAAAGCTGAACTCTTCCTCACCCCATCTACTTCGTCCTGGAAAAGGCTCATCTCCAGTTGGGTCAGGTGGGTCCTCTTCATTATACTTGACTGTCTCTTTTTTGTCTGCACTCTTCAAAGGGTACTGAGGGATTTTCGGTTGCCCCATGGTATTGGGAGGATCAACTCTCTTACCCCATGTATTGCTTCCAGTGTATGGTGAGTTTTCTCTGGGATAATAGGGGTTATATTCATGGTGGAAAACACTTCCTCCGGAGCCAGGGGGAAGACGAGGTAAATGTTTGTCCTGTTTCCCAGGATCTTCCTTGAAGGGTGGAGGAATTTCTTGGTGACTCCATGTACTTCTTCCAGCAGGAAAATGTTCTCTTTTAGGAGAGGGGATTATGTCAGGATAGAGAGGTGGATGTGTACTGTGCTTTAATTCAGGCTGCTTAGTTTGTGTTTCATATGGGATTCTTTTTGGCTCTAAAGCAATCCCTTTGGGAAAGTTCTGGCTTTGGGTTTGTGTATTAGAATTTGTCACTCTTCTGGTTTCTCCTCTTGAGTAATAGGAGTTTTCATGTTGATTAACAGAATTAAAGTTTGGCTCTGGCATGTTACCCTCAGGGCGAGGCCACCCATAATTTGGTTTATTAACTCTGTAATGTTGAGAGTTTCTCCAGGAGCCTGATGTATCCTTTGTAGGACTGACTGTTCTTTCTTTTTGACTTGGTGACTTTTCCTTTGGATTTTGGGTCTTTTCACTGCGGCCAACAGTACCTAGCTTGGGACTCATTGGAGTAACATTGGTTCCCACAAAGGGTTTGTTTGGCCCCTGAAGCTTTCTTCTGAAGTTTGCTGGATTTCCCGCATAGTTGGGGTAATTGACTCTGGAAGTGGGGGTGTAAGCTTTGCGATAAGTTGGATTTTGGGGGCCAACTGCTTGTTTGCCTTCCCAAGCAAAGGAGTTTCCCTGAGGACCTCTTTGACCTGGCTGATTTCGGTAAGAAGGTCCAGACTGTCTTCGCCCAGTAGCAGTACCTGTGGGGTTTGATTGTCTTCCTGAAGGAGAATTTCTGATGTTAGGCTTTGGATAAATTCCATAAATATTTGGCTGACTTGGTTTCCATGGAATTTGATTTCTGGGTACTACTTGGCCTGAGAAATTAACTGTAGGAAGTGGAAAGATCCCATTTGGAGCTGTAGGGTTGTTCCCAGTATTCAGCCCAGGAACATTGGTTAGTGTTGGGCTGGTGTCATTTTTGCCTTGAATTCCTGGTTGGGTAGAATTAGTCTCAGGTACTGTTGAATTAGCTGAGGGTTCTGATGGTGGGTCTTCTGGTTTAGGAGGATCTTCTTCTTTAGGTTTTTCATAGTCTTCAAACATCTCTTCTGAATAATAAGGACGACCCCCAAAACCAGGGTATCCAAAAAATCCAAAATAAGGATTCTGTAGGAAAGAAGATGGAAAGTTGTAATTTTTCTTTGTTCCCTACCATAGTGTGTTGCTTGGAATTTTTTAATGTAATAGGGAAATCTTATCAGCCATGTGCTTCTTTTAACACCATTGGCTGTGCTTTCTTGAAATTCGATGTCTCCATGGTTTCTGTGATCTTATACCCTTGGTTTTCTCTTCTGGTGCTGTTTTGGACCAATTGGTCTACATCTTAAATCTGAGGATTTAAATTTGTTATTTATAAATTTATGAAATTTTACTTTTTGTTCCACCCTCTGGCCTCCTCATTTCTCTGTTCTCACTTTGCACACCTGCTTTGAACAACCTGTGGCATGCCTATACTTTCTGTCCGGTATGTGCTAATGACCCAAAAGGGCATATCTGCATCCCATGATATTGTCTCCTGAGGGTGAGGCCCAAGGCTGCTCCACTAAAGAGCTCACTGGGCTCATCTCTACCAAAATCCCTTCTCTAATATTCTATACCTAAGAAACAGTCACCAGTATCAGCTCAGTCACCACTATCAACCCAGGTTTCCACTTTCTCCCTTGTTTCCCACTGTGTGAGGTACTGGGACACTGTGATGTTTTTACTCAAAATTTTTACATAGAAAAATCAAGTGGGCAAATCCCAGGAAAATAAGCAACTGAAACTGGTGAGATGTTGTTTCTGAGAGGAATTCCAGTGCTGCTGTGGCATTTGGGTGGAGAGGTGGCAGTCAGGCTGTCCTGAGGGCCGAGTCAGGTGTGCCCCAGGACAAGTGTGGTGGGGGACAGGATGGTTGTGAAGAAGCCTCCGCTTTCATCCTCTCTTCTTTTATCCCCTTCACTCCTGAGCCCTTGCCATAGTTTCTTACTGGATAATTTCTATTCTGGCTTTTCTCTCACTGTGCCTTTCAGTATGTACTGAACCCTCCTTACCTTACAGGATAAATTCTAAACCTTTTAGCATAGCACAGAAAACCTTATAGTGTAGTGCTGAACAGGGGGCTCCAGGCAGACATGCATTTAAATCCCTGTTCCTGATCTGGTACCAGTACTATGACTCTTGACCAACTTCAGGTTATTCATTAATTTGTAATGCAGAGATAATAAAATAGTATCCACCTGTAGCTTGACATGATGGTCAAATGAGACAGAATACTGCACACACCTCCATTTGGAACTTGGTTAAGTGCTAGGAAGTGTTACACGTGATGTAATAATAATCATTATTATTAGTGATAACTGTTATATTCAGCCTTTTGCAGTTGCAGCTTATAGCTGCTCAGAACTGCCCTGAGTACTCCGTTCTCTGTGCAGCCCCGTGCCTTGCTCAGAGCTTCTTCACACCCATCCTGTGCCCCTGCACACTCATCCCTGGGGCACACTTGACCATCCCTCAGGACAGCCTGACTGCCACCTCTCTGCCCCGAATTCCGCAGCAGCACTGGGCTCCAGCACACATTCCTGTCGGAAACAACATCTCACTGAGTCCAGTTGCTTATTTTCCTGGTATTTGCTCACTTGATTTTGCTATGTGAAAATTTTGAGTAAAAACATCACAGTTTTCCAGTACCTCACACAGTGGGAAATGCTTAATGCATTTTTGTTTAATGAATGATTTAATATTCATAAGCTCTGCCTGTCAAGTTTTAGACATTCGTAAGGCATTTAGGTCATTTGGATGTTTTTTAAAAAACAAGTGCAATCTATAGGAAAAATATTTTAAAATCTCTATTTGTAGCTGGGGAGGATGAAACAGGAGGGTGAGTAGATGTCTCTAATGTCACACTGGGAATCTGGCACCCCACCCCTCCACCCCAAAAGGGATATAGACAAAGGGATATAACATGATGCCTATGTTAACTGCTTGGCTTATTTTGTCTACTTTCTCATGTTTGTGAAAGTTTGAAGTGTCAGATTCTAGGTTAGATTCCACATAATTATGTGAATTGTTTATTTGGGGTTGTTTCATAATGATATTTTTGGAAAGCATCTTGTACCATTATTGACAGAATGATCTTCCTTGTCATTATTTTAAGAGCACACCAATTCCCTTCCCCTACCAAGCTATTGGTGTCTGCATTTCACAAAGCACATAGCACATATTTAGGGAAAAAGGAAGTAAGCTCCAGGCTAGGGTGATGCACCACAACTGCTAAAATGATTTTTTGGTGATGTAGTAGCAGACTTTTTCAGGTTTTTTTTTTTTTGGTACTAGGTAATTGAATCCAGAAGCTCACACCAAGTTGTTGTCTGAGCCCTTTCAAGTGTACTTTTTTTGTTTGTTTGTTTTTTTTCTCTACCGGGAACTGAACTCTTGACCTTGAGCTTGCCAGGCAGGCGCTCTGACGCTGAGCTAAATCCCCAGCCCAGCCTGAGCCCTTTCTATTTTTGTTTTGAGACAAAATAAAATCTTACCAAGTTGCTTAGGCTGTCATCAAACTTGCCATCCTCCTGCTCACCCTCCTGAGCAGCTGGATTACCAGCATGCACCACCATACAAGGTGCAGTACTAAAATTAATGAACTAATTAGTTAATAATTCTTTGTTTTGTTTTGTTGAGGATCTCACTGTGTGTAGTTCAGGCTGGCCTTAACTATGCAGCTCAGGCTGGCTTTGAACTTTTGGTGATCGTGCTCCTCTGCCTGCTGGGTGATGGGATTGCAGGTGTGAGCCGTGACGCCTGGCTTGAGTGCTAGAATATTTTAAGGGTATGTCACTCAGTGACACACATTTGATTGTTCCTTAGTGTGATGTAGTAAAAGGCCACTACACAAGACATCAAATAGACTGAGTTCTGGGTCCATTTTATCCTTTAACTGACTAGGTGAAATTGAGTAGTACTTTATCTTCTGCAGGCTTCAATTTATATGTTCAATAAAGGAATTAGATGTTTTTAAAATTCCCTTCTGAGGGAAGCATTCAAAAATGCTCTTAACTTGTTTCTCTGCATATCGCTGTCTAAAGCACGTGAGAGACATCTTTCAGTCCTTGTGGAGCAGCAGTGATGAATCACTGGCTTGATTTGTCTCCCTTTTCCTTTGCTAAGGCTTAGGAGCTTGAGATATGGAAGGTTCACGTGCTGGTTTTTAACTTTCCTATTAGACACTGATCACACAGCAGAGGCTAACAGACTGTCATTCCTCGTGGGAATTGCAGCTTTGCTTGTGCTTACCCCTCCATCTTCATTGCTGAGTGGTGGGCGTCCATAACCAGGGGGTGGCATCCTCTGGAAGGTGAAAAACACAGTGAACACAAGAGAAAACTGCTCTCTAGCTGCCATTTGCAAGACTGAGGATGTATTAAATGAACTCAAGTTAGGAACTGAGTGTTAGTACTCTGAGCTTTTAGCTTCTGAGTCACTAACTCTCACTATCTAACTATTAAGTGTTTGACCTGTCAGTGAATATCGGTAAACATGAAGGCTTCAGCTAGGTCCTGGATTGTCCTACTCGAAATACCCTGGGTGGCTGAATCTCTTATTTGGTCCACCCTTTACCTCCTGCAGGCATACCATCACTCCCATCCCCACCACAGAGAGGGAAGGAGAAGAGGGGGGAGATTGATTTGAGTGATATTAGAATTCAAGCACCCGTATTAGAACCTCTAATAACAGAGATTAAACAATGATGTTATTTTTAGAATGCTTGCTTCACATGTGAGGTCAATTTTTCTAATAATATTTGGAGGGTGAGTTTCTACTCAGACTGTTACAAAGAGGGAGGGCTTAGAAAATCAGTTTTGTTCCCATAGACATTCTTTTAAAAAAATCATCTTTAAAAATTATAATTATTATGCATATTAATTGAACATATTGATGGGTTTCGCTGTGACCTTTCCATCCATGCATATATGGATGTTGTGCTTTTGCTGTGCCCCTCTTCTGACTGCCTTTGCATAACCTCTCCTCTCTCCTTCTTTCCTCCAGTCCTCTTTTACCTTTCTTTTGTGGTTCCTTTACTACCTTCAAGTCATCTTTTAAAATTTTACTTTATTCTAGCTTCCACATGTAAGAAAAAAATGTAATACTTATCTTTCTGGACTTAAATTATTTTACTTAACGTGATCACCTCTAGTTCCATTTGCCCACAAACGACATTTTGTTCTTCTTTATGGCTATATAGTACTTCCTTATATCTAGATACCATATTTTCCTTGTCTATTGATCTGTGGACAGGCACAAGGCTGATTCTATTGTGTGGCTACAGTGAACAATGCTGCAGTAAACATGGTGCGCTGGTGTCTTGTATGGATGCTGACTGTTCCCTTGCGTATGTATCCAAGTGTGCTACTGGATCATATGGTCCTTCTACTTTTAGTTTTTGGGGAAGGGGATTTAGCTCAGTGGCAAAGTGCCTGCCTGGCAAGCGCAAGGTCGTGAGTTCGGTTCCCGGTACCGGAGAAAAACCAAAAAAAAAAAAAAAAGCAGAGCCCCTGGACTACCTGTTTATATCCTTCAGAGAAGCTCTGCTTATGAAGCTTTTGGGGAAGCTGCATGCTGTTTCTATAGTCCTGCTGCTGTAGAATTTACTTTCTCACCAACGATGTATAAAGATTCTTCTTTTCCTATATTATTAACAGAATTTTTTTTTGATAATAGCCATTTTGAGTGGAGTGATGGTAGAGTCTCATTATAGTTTTGATTTGCATTTCTCTAATGGCTAAAGGTGTTGAGTGTTTTTTTCCATATATTTATTGTCTACTTGAACTTCTTTTTTGGAGAAATGTCTGCTCAGATTATTTGTCTCTTTCTGGATTGGATTATTTGCTCTTTGTTGTTAAGTTTTTTGATATGCACATGTTTCTTTTTTATTTTATTTTATTTTTTTATTTTAAAGAGAGTAGTACATGAGAAACAAATAAAAAAATACAACAGTAGCAGCATAGCAGTATCATGAACATAAACAAATCAAAGCAAGAACATTCAAAGTGATACAGGGTCTCAAGACAAATTAATACAAATCATGATATATATATATTTTTATAAATTTTCAAGTTCTGTGTAGATGAGATTCATGTTATTCCAACATGACAGTCATGCTGCTTTAAAATTCTTTACCCAGAACTGCCTTAGTTTCCTTAAATCAATATGGCTGTAAAAGGAAGTTACTCTTTTTTTTTTTTTTTTTTTTGGTACTGGGAATCGAACTCAGGACCTTGCACTTGCCAGGCAGGTGTTGTGCCACTGAGCTACATCCCCGGCCCACAAGTCACTCTTTTAAGGACAAAAATAATAAGGAACTCTTACTCTGTGAAATTAATTGCTCCCTGTTGGTAAGAAGCCCTTTTTGTTCTAGAGTTGTAGACAAGAATTACCTACGCTAAGGCTGAACAAACAGTTGTCAATTATTTCTTGATGTTGTTTTAGGTTTTTTTTTTAATAGACCATGACTGGCCTTTACTATTTTTTTTAGTTCAGATAGTTTGCCATTTCTTTTTTCAGTGCCTATAATACTATTTCAATATTGTTTTAGTTTAATAGTTTTAAACTTTGAGAATTCTTTTATAAGTATTATTTTGCAAGATTATTTTCTGTGGTGAGAAACATTAAGGTGTCATGGAATGGTCTTAGTCTAATAATATCTGACTTTATGGTTTTCCAACTTCATTTTGTTTTAATTTTCCCATTACATTAAATGAGAATAAGTGTTGTATTCATAGGAGATTTAGGTTGTTTCTCTGCCACAGTTCAGTCTGAAAGGGAAATGCAGAAAACTCTTCATTTTTTGTATGATCACTGCTGTGATGTATTTGTTTCCTACTCTCCTGATTGGTGTAGGGCATTCCACTACAGTGTGTGAACATGTATTAACTTAAGGTATAATATACTAAAATAATTTTATATTGCTAGTATGAAAAAAAACTTCTTACCTGTGGAATTGGCCATGGGGGTTGTTGAAAGGGAAATAGTCCATTGTTGAATGGTGGGAATGGCTAGAGAGAAAGAATTAGAGTTATAGGAAAGTGAGAAAAATAATCACAATATGAAATGAACTAAATATAGTTATTTGAAACTTGGTCTACATTTCCTTTTGCATTAAATTCTCCCCCCTCTCCTTATGTGTGTGTGTGTGTTAAAGGCAGAGGAGATAATAATTACCATTATTGAACAGTTATTTTTAAGCACCATGCTGAGTGTTTTTTATTGTTAAATTGAGTACTCAGGTAACCATGAAAGACATGTTCTATTATTATTCCCATTTTACTCAAGAATCTGAGCAGCGAAGTCATCATTTGCTCAAAATCTCATGACTAGGGAGTGACTGAAATCAGGATTCAAACCCAGGGGTATCTTTTTATTGGATTTTGTATTTCCTGTACCTATCATTGCATGCAATGACAAATGACAAAATGACAGTAGTTTTGAAGCTTCACAGAGGTGAGACGAGGTCTTGAGGAACCATTGATATATATTGCTTTATATCGGGACTACACTTACGTCATTCTGAAGTGATAGAAACAATGCAAATTTCAGAACAGCTGTTTAAACTGTCAAAACAGAGATCTAGAAAGGACTTAGAGACCAGTCAGTTCATTACTGGAGATATCATTGTCTAGGAAGGTGAAGTGACTTGCCCATCACAATAAACTGATAAGGCTGGGGATAGTACTTAAGGCTTTGTTTGTTTGTTTGTTTCTTTCTTCTTTTTTGTCTTTTTGAGATAGGGTCTTGCTATGCAGTTCAGGCTGGCCTTGAGCTCACTTTATAGCCCAGGCTGGTCTCAAACTTGTAACGATCCTCCTGCCTCACCCTCCCAAGTGCTGGTCTTACAGGTGTTTCTTTTCTTTCTTCCTTCTTTTCTTTCCTTCCTTCCCCTCTTTCTTTCTTTCCCTTTCTTTCTTTTTCTTTTTTAATTTTTTTGGGTTTTTGAGGCAGGGTCTCACCATGTAGTTTCAGGCTTGCCATGAACTCTCTATGTAGCCCAGGCTGGCCTCAAACTTGGGACAATCCTCCTGCCTCAGCTTCCCAAGTTCTGGGACTACAGGTGTTATGCCACTCTGCCCAGTGTGACTTTGTTTCTTGACTCTTACACTTACTGTCACTTTGTTGTAATGTATTGGCTCCATATTTTAAAAATATCTTTTTTTGTGTATGTGAGGGACTGAGGGATTGAACTCAGAGTCTTCACACTAAGCCACATCTCCAACCCTTTAAAGATTTATTTTGAGAGAGAATCTCACTAAGTCTAAGTCACGTAGGTTGGGTCAAACTTGTGATCCTCCTGCTTCAGCCTCTGAAAATTCTAGGCATGGACCACCATGTCCAGTAAAAGGGTCTTCTTTAAAGTGATATTTAGGTAATTTTTAACCAGAGAAGGCTAGAATCAACTTGCCAGGCAGTTTTGGATAAATGTCAAACTAAATATGTACTGCATTTTGCAGGAAGCCTGTGTGCAGAGTGGCCAGGGCCTCCAAACCCCTTTTTAGCCTTTTCATGATTCTGACTTGGGATTTCCCAGGTAAGCCTCACCTGTGGGGGCTGGGTGTCCGCCTTGCCCTTGGGTGGGTCTTGTGGTGGCTGATTTAAAGGCTGCTTTTCTGGTGGCTTCTGGGGCTGAGTCTGGTTGGGCTTCTGGGTCTCCTGGGTTGGGTCAGTCTTGGTCTGGTGTTGGGGTCCTGGGGGGTTCTGCCACCCACTGGGTAGTGGCTGGGGCCACATGGGGGGCATCGGGTACTGTGGGTATGGCGGAGGGATTTGGTAACCATTTCCGTAAGGGCCCATAGGTCCCATCTGAAAGAACAGCAAAAACAGTGACATGGCTTTCAGGCAGAGTTTCAGACTCCACACCCTCTAAACCCAGCCAAGAAGCTTAAAAATCTTGTGGAACTTGATTCAGCAATAGAACTTTAAGTGTTGCTTCTAAAATGAACTTCAATCTTCTAGAAAACTAACCTAACCAAAAGGCACAATTCAGTAAGAAATTTCAGTTTAAGAATATGATGATTTCTAACTCTGAAATCTGACTCAAGTAAGAAGTGTACTAGGATAGGTTACAGGGAATTTGATGTCAAATTGAAAACTCATGTGACTGGTTACCAAGCTGGATAAAGAGAAGAAAAAAATAAAAAGAAGGTAAAGGATGTAATACTGTAAAGCAAAATAGAAAACAAAACAAAAAAGGACAAAAAACAAAAACAAAACAGAAGAAAAGAGAAAGAGTAAAACTTGCTTTATATATACCCTTACAATGCTCCTGTGCTTCTGGGCCACAGGTGGATCCTCATTAACTGTGCTTTTATCATCAGGATCTCCACAATTACAAAGTTGGACAGAGTAGCAAAAGTAGTTGTAATTTGAAAATTAATGCATTGACCTCAGTATAACAATGTCAATCTCCATTTAAACATTTCCTCTGAGATTTAATGCGAGTCTGTCTCTAATCCTCATGAATTAGTCTCTATTTGTTGGATGATTGCTCACAACACAGTGTAGTGCAAAGGTTCTGAGAATTAAGATTCATGATATTATGAAAATTAAATTGGTGAAAATGTCAACCCATTGTCAAAGGCACTGAAAGCAAAAAGAGGGTCTGAAAAAGTCGGGCCAATCGGAAGTTAAGGAAGAGAATATTGGAAATGATGATTTTAGGCAAGAGTTTTCAAGTGAGAATGGCTTTATTCAAATGAAAAGGATTAAGAGAAAATTGTTGAAATCTCTCTTCTCCCCAGTGGCTGTCACGATCATGTTGCACAAGTCAGAAGTGGCATATTGTGTTACTGAGCTATCATAAAATTACACAGAAAGAGCCAACTGACACTGGATTCATGTATTAACTTTTTCTAAGAATTAGTGGTGAAAGAATAAGCAATCTTCCAAAATAATAAATAAAATTACCTTTCAAAATAATAAATAAGATTACCTCTTTAGTAGTATTTATTGTACTATTTTTGTTGTCATTACTTGTGGAACTGTCCTCTGTGATCTTTTCCCAGAATCAATTTTTCTTGGATATAAATAATCCTTGTAATTAATAAGTGCTTTTGATTTATAGGAAAAGAATACTAGTAATGAATAAGGAGAAAATTTGGTGTGAGGGGACAAGTGAAATGATTTTCTGTCCTGGAATCTTTTATAATGATTATATTGTAATTTAAACACCTGGATGGCTACTGTCTCTGCTACCTAAAACAAATGTTACAGTGTAGCTCTCTGGATGTAGACAAGAAATCCTCAGAAATAATATAAAGAAGAACTTACAGGTGGGGGATGCATATAGTTGAATTGACCGTAGCGCATCATCTGCAATGAAAAGAATTCATTAATGTGACCTAGTGTGAAAATTTTTTCAGTTGACGGGTGATCAGGAATAAAGTTGAATTTCTGACTTTAAGGCAGGGAGTCATAATGTCTTTTAGTAGTTATACATGGTTGTATAATAAGTATGCCTTTAAAAATTTCTGGGTATTTTTATATCAGAATTTTATTTTGAGAAGAATCAACATAGAATAATAAAAAAATCAAGCCTACTTTGAAGTTTTGAATATTCTGTTCTCGAGCTCAAGATTTGAGAGCAAGATAATTCTGCGATAAGATGATTCTTTCTGATATGTGTTGAATTTGGCTAATGATCCCTTGTATGAGTTACATAAAAGATATCCGTATGCTTAAGCATCTACCTTCTAACATATGGTACAAGTGGCTAGTTTTGCTAGCCTGACAAAGTTAGCCAAGAAGCTAGGATCAACTCAGTTTTAAGATGAATCCACATTTTATGAAAAGCAATATTGAAGCACACAGGTAGGATCATGCCCGAAGAAACTACTTTACCTTGTTCAGGACTTTCAAATCTTTCTGACTTTACCGCTTTTATTAGAAATCTCACGTATCGGAAATTTTGTCAGTATACTCATCTTTCATGATCTTCTATGGTAGAATAGACTCTGGAAAACGTCTCCCCTGATCCTGAACATACATACCTCCTCACTTTTGCTGCTAAAGCCAGGCATTCGGGGCATGTACATCTGGAACTGAGAGAACACAGTGACAAGTGAAGGCCTCAGCTGAAACAAGCCCCACTATTGTTCCCAGGCCGCACGACAACACAACACGAAGGACGAAGGCTTAACGGTTAAGAAATACTCACTGGCATGGCAGCAGAACTACCAAACAGACCTAGAAATACCAAGAGGATCTTCATTTTTCCATTTGGTACCTAGAATAAAAAACTGAATGTTATTTTTGGACTACAAGATAACTATATTTAGGGCACACTGCAGTTACTTAGCCTGCTCACCTAGACAGGAGCGCACAGAAACACAAGGTGCCTACTGCTATTTTCAGTGGTAAGAGACTGTTACTACATAGTACTATTCTGAGCTGCCTAAAGAATCAGATTAAAAAGGAAGGATGAGAGGGAGGGAGGGAAGGAGGGACAGACAGAGGAAGGGAAAGACAGTAGGGGAGATGATGCTTGAGAAAATCATGGCACTAAAATGTGGAATTTAGAAATTAGGAGGTTACCTGAAAAACAAGAATATTTATGACTTTGAGTTCTAGGTGGCAAGTTAGTTTACAAAGGCATAGAAATATCCAGCTACATTCACTGTATGGAATAATCACAGTTTTAATGAGTGCACATTCCAAAATTAGGACTTTATACTACTTTTTAAGATGTTAAAGACAACATGGCATTATAGAGGAGTTAACTTGTATTCTAATCAGATGGAAAAATCAGTTTTCCTTCTTTCTTCTATATTATTATTATTATTGTTAGTATAATTTTATTTTTAAAATCACTTCTGTTCTGGTTAGGACAATAAGAAATATCAATAAATATTAATTTATTTCTTTGGTAACTAAATAATAGCTAAAGCTAGTGTGTGTAATATAGGTTACAATAGCACAAGAAAGCTAGAAAATAGAATGCTGCTGTAGGTTTACCCTTCTAACTATTTCTAAGATTATGAGTCAAGATTTTGAGGAACTTTGGATGTTTAATTTCTCTCCCGACAATTCATCAATTTTATCTCTATTGGGGCTGTCACACCCATTCTTGATCACTTTGCATACTCATGAAAGATGATGTGACTTTATTTTACAAACACTCATTATCAAATGTCACTTATTTTCTCTTTTATAAAATTAGTATATTATCTCAGATGACTTTTAAGATCTCTTCTACCTCTAAAAGTACATGACTAGATAAAAGTTTATGATTGTTTTTCAAATTGAAAATAGTCTTCAATGATGGCTAGTTCTCATTCACCTCTAAACATCGGTACAATTTAGTTCTTCTGACACACTAAAAAATGTTTTGTCCACTCAACTATACTTCTGACAATATTTAGTTTGATAGACTAGACACTGAAAAATAAATGAGAATACTCACCAAGTTATATAACTTAGGAAAAGAAGCTCCCTTTCTGCACTGAAGCAGCAGCATTTTTTCACCAAAACTTTCATAAGCCTTTGGGGAGAAATGCAGATTTATCATGAGGACCTTAAATACAAGAAAGGGAACAAATAAATGGAACAAATAGCGAAGCATCACCGTTGAGCTGGTGCACATCATGCTGGTCATTTCATCCGAGCATACCTTTATTAGAGGGTCCTCAACATCAACATTAATCTTCTTTGCTTTAAGATTAGGATGAAAGCTAAATCAGAGAGAAAACGACATAGGCATTGTATTTTGAGATACTTCCAGTGCAATGTTGACAAAACCTCACATCTTTATGGAGAAATGTGAAAAGATACTTAAAGGAAGTCTAAGTAGTTTGGAAGAAAACCTATGAGAAAAACAAACATACTAAATAAACCAAGAGTTTAAACTCTTATCAAATTAGTCTACAAAAATGTTTATACAACCAAAATTAAGGAATGCAGTAAGGAAATCACTCAATATCTACAAATTAAGTTCATTATTTGATACTCTGTATTTAATGTTAATAATTTCTAATACTCACCCAATGCTGGTTAGAAGCTGAAATATATAAGATTTTTTTTACTTCAACTTTGTTAGTCTGTCTTTGAAATAGATTCTTAATGGTCTGTAGTGGAAGCAACTACAAATTGCTGAAGTCAGGGAGAGCCAAGGAGCAAGATACATTTATTTCTTAATAACAAAACAGAAATTCTTCATGAAGATGTGATATTGAGTACCAAAAAGGCATAAAATAAAAAGATTCCTCCTTGTCAGAACGCTTGGCATAGCAAGATCACATTTAAGCACTGTTGTAGACATGTACAACCAATCAGCTTTGAGGAAAACGGTTTTGCCATCACAAGAGTTTAAGGTAAACACACACACATACACACGCTCACACACTCACACAGGAAGATTCAATGTAAAATTTATAATGTGTTATTACAGGAGCTGTCAAATCAAGTCTCTTATTATGTGTAATAACAGTTTGGGAAAATGAGCTTACAGCAGTAAGATTTAAAAGATGCTTTCCTTGTGAATTTGGGTTTGAAGTATAGAGAGTTCATTTATACAAATATATTTGGGGAACAAAGGTGGATATTAACTACATACTATTGTCGTAAATCATTGGCCATCATCAAAAGACAGAACAATATATTTAATTTAACCTATTTAGTTAATACATTGTTAATATGTAATCAAAATAAATCAGAACATTATAGCTGTGACCAATTTAGTGGCTTGATTTTGTTTGTATTAGATGAAGCCAGTAGGACTTTATTCCTTTAAAAAGTCAAATATAAGTCATTTACTGGGGATTTAAATTTTTTTTATTTTAAAAATAAAAGGAGGAAAACATTAACAGACAGACAACATTTTACAAAATAGCAAAAGAACAGTACAGACAATACAGAGTTACAAACAAAGTGGTAGGAAAGTAACAATGCTTGTTGTATTACATATTGATATCTTCAAAGTGGTTTCTCATGAAAACAGATAGAGACATGCAATACTGATCAATCAAGGACACATTCACAGTTTCATTCAGCAAAGAAATAGAAGACAGTAGAACAACTACATTAACTATCCTGTATATACATACATAAAAAACTTCTCCTTCTTTCCCTTCTCTTTTCCCACATCCCAATTGCCCTTTACCCTTGAGTGTTTTCCTATCATTTCACAATGTCTATCATACCTCCTAGTTTAAATTAACTCTTTCAGGTTTTACACGAATGAAACAATGTGGTGCTTGCACATGTATGTCTGATTTATTTCACTTATGAGTATGGTCTCTAGTTGTGACCATTTACCTATAAAAGCCTCAAGTTTATCTTTCAGGATTTATATTTTTGAAGACCTGGGTAAAATGGGGAGTGAATTATCAACTATTCATGATAATCCAGTCTTATGAAAGCAGGAATGGAGAAATTCACTACAGGGGTTAGATTACAAATATTTTTCTGCAGTCTGACTTTTCACTGAAAGATTACACTTCTAAATAAATCCAACTATTCTTTTCACTGACACGAGAAGCTTTGTTGTCTTGGCTGAGGTTTGATTCTCCTGTTCTCTTATGGCTCCAAGAGAGAGGATAGTTGTCATCATGATGTTTACCTACTTGACTGCTGGCATTTAAACACTGACAGTGATTGAATGGGTTCTACTTAGTGTGATTTCGTACAGAAATTTATCCAGTGGTTGCATGTGGCACACAAAGGTCTATGTCTTTCATCTTGGACCAAGTAACACTGTATTCATTAGCCTACTTGGTCCCCAACTTTAGTTGCAAAAAGAATAAAATTTGCTAGAATAATCATTTTTAAATTAAGCTAAAATACTGAAAAAGTCTGTGTATCAAACGTATGAAAAACTATGTCTATTTCAACATCTGACTACCTTTATCTTATTTTGTGGAAATTAAATAGCACTTATAATACTGTGTGTGCACTGAGATGGACTTGCCAGTGACAGGATACCTGAAGAGGGCCGTGTGCTTGGAGGCGAACTGAGGCTTGTGCTGGGGGACGCAATGTCTATGCTATTCACACAGAGGGTGGGGTTTTGTTCTTGGCTTTAGCATACATGGGTGATAAGGAGTTGCCACTAAGCCTCCTTTTGGTTGCTTTCTCTACTTCTTGTTCTTTCTGCCACAGGGAGGTTAGTGGTCACAAAATAAACTATATTTCTTCTTCTTTTTTAAAAATTTATTTTAAAGAGAAATGAACAAAAACAAAATAACAAAAACAAAGACATAGCACAACATGAAAATAATAAAAACAATACAGAATTTCAGAACAAGATGATAGGAAATTAACAATGGTTGTTATATTACATATTGTTATCTTCAAAGTGGTTGCACAGATAATGAAATCTAGGCATGTAAGATTGATCAAACAATTAAACATTAACTGTTCCTTTCAGCAAACCAATAGAACTTAATAGTAGAGGAAGGAAAGTGTGTATATGTGTACACAAGATAGCTAAGGTAATAAACTATATTTCTAAAATCCAGGCAATGTGTTTCAGTGAGTGATGGATTGAGAAGTATACTGGATTGAGAAAATGACTCAATTTTCTTCTTTAAAGAAAAACTAAAGGAGTATTCAACTATATACCATATATATATTTTTTATTTTAAAGAGTAAAAGAAGGATAACAATAATGGGGGGGGGGCTTACCAAATTACAGACAAAGTGGTAGGAAATTATCAATGGTTATTGTTTTACATATTGTTATCTACAAGATAGTTTCTCAGGAAAACAAATAGACAAATAGTGAGTTACAGACAAAAGAGGTAGGAGATTATCAAGAGTTGTTGTACTCTACTTAGGTATCTTCAAAAGAAAATAAATAGAACTATACACAAGTGACCTATTGAATAATCATTAACTATTTTCAATGGTTGTTGTAGGAAACACATAATAGTAAACTTGCATCCATTTATGAAATAGGATAGGAACAATACAAACATTGCAGAGTTATGGATAGATTAGTAGGAAAATATCAATGACTGCTGTAATACATGTTGGTATCTTAGAAGTGGTTTCTCAGGAAGACAGAGATAGGCAAGAAGGATCTAACAAGTAGTTACAGCCTAAGGGTTGTCAAAAATCAAGGGACCCATCTGGGGCCAAAGCCATTTTTTGTAGCGTTTTCTCTCCAGCCTCCCATCGCATTGGGACCCCACAACCAGTTAGTGTCCTCTCCCCAAATGTCAGCACAGGTGGCAGGAATCCTGCTGCAGCCTTCTCTGGAGCTCCACCACAGCCTGTACTGTCAGGGGAAGAATGGCTTCCAGGGAGTCTCCACAGGTATTGTGCAAGGTCCTCCTGGTTTACAGCTTCCGAGCGGCTCTTATGACCCCAGTCCACAGGACCTCTGACTCCTCGGGCTTAGTCTGCATTCTCATGTTCTCCGTCCGAGTCCTTGTTCAGCAGCTGCTCCTTTGCTGACTCTAGACCTTTCTGGTTCTCAATGGCAGGAGCAAGAGTGGCCCATTGTATAGCATGTATCCCAGGGGTTTCTCCATGTTTGAATGATTCACACACGTCCATAGGTGGGCATCTGCAGCTGGTGCATGATGGGCCAATTGTGTCATTATTTCTCTGTGTCATGATAGTTCTCAATTGAGCAGCGGCGGCCGGCCTGAAGGCTGGTGCGCAACAGCGCTCTCGGCCGCACAGCTTCCCGTGTGCCTGGGGGCCCTCCCTCCAGGGGCCTACGAGACAGGGAGCAAGCTACCGGTTGGAAGACCGGCGCTCCCCACCCCTGTATACCATATTTTGAAGCCGTCCCTCTGTGACTTTTCCCCATTTACTCCAATCATCACTTCTTATTTTATAAGTTCTTTTCCTCTTCAGTTACCTCTGTTTGTGAACATGTTTTATGATTTGATTTTTCAGTTTTCTAAAGTGTATCTCTTTGTTGCTTTCCCTTTGTTCACCTTCTCATCCATAAATAAAGCTTTTGAACCTGGGCTCTGTGAACTCAAGACATCTTATTAAGAATTTGTGCATTGTGTTGCCTCTCCCCTGCCCCTGGCTTGAAGTGAAACACATCTTTCTAGCGTCTGTGTCCTCTACTTTGCTTTGAATGTTGCGGCCCTCCCACTGATTGAGATTTTAAGTCAGTAGCAGTACTATTTCTCCCTCTTAGATATGGTACAAAGAGGCTGGGTGTTGAACTACCAGATCTGAGTTTAAACTTCCACAAATTATCCAACTGTTCACTTAATGCTCAGTAAAATGGAAGTAATGTAACTTTCTCCATAAGTTTCTTCTGATGCTCACATGAAATATACACAAAATGCCTGCTATCTAGCAGAGGACTGTCAGTAACTAACTGATCAATACATCAAGGTACTTTTATTGCTTGATTAGTTATTTATTTTGGTACTGTGGTGTAGGAACCAAGCCCTTCAAACTGAGCTATATTCCCAGCCATTTTTTAAAATTTTGAGACAGGCTTTTGCTAGGTTGCCAAATTGCCCAGGCTAGGCATAAAATTGTTGATTTCTCTGCCTCAACCTC